TAGAAAAGTTCAAGATAGTTGGGAAGAGTCAGCATGGTTTTGTGAAAGGGAAATCGCAAGGGAAAATGTTTAACCATTTTATTGAAGTTCTTTAAAGAAGTAGCATGCATAAGGGGTTAATACTTGAATAGAAATGAAAGAGCTGATCAAAAGCAGAGTATACATAAAGTAGTCCTTGGCTCTTTGACAGGATGTGGGAATTGGTGTCACAAAGGTCTTCAACTTAATACAGTTTTAATCAATGACCTAGATAAGGGAACTGAAGGCATAGTATGCAGGTGACACAAAGATAGATAGTATGTTGTGAAGAGGACACAAAGAGATTGCAGACCTATATGGAGTGGGCAAAAATATGTCAGATGGAGTATAACATAGGAAAATGTGAAATTGTTTACCTTGGCAGAAATAATAAAAATGCAGAGTATGGTGATAGTGCCATAAAATACAATATAAGTTATTCTTAAAGTTTAGGCATGACTTTGTCCCTGCAAGGACTATGCGATGGTCACTCTTATGCTAATATCATGGACAGATGTATCTGCTGCAGGCAGATTGGTGAGGATAAGGTCAAGTATGTTTTTCCCCTCTTGTTGGTTTCCTCACCTGATGCTGCAGCCTCAGGTCAATATCCAGCTCTTTCTGTATTTATTCCCTGTAGGTCTGGTCTCACCCACAAGGAGTCTGTAGAATTTTGAGGTGCAGATTGTGTTCTAGTGCGTAAGTCACAAAATGTTAGAATGCAGGTACAGCAAGTAATTAAGAGGGGTAATGGGATTTTATCCCTTATTGTGAGAGGAACTGAACATACAAGTAAAAATGTTATTCTTGAGTTAGACAGGGAAATGTTTAAATTCATGTCAAATACTGTGTGCAGTTTTGAAATACTTATTTAAGGAAGATTGTAAATGTATGGGCAGCATTTCAGAAGGGGTCTACTAGATTGGTGTCTGGAATGAGCAGATTGTCTTATAAGGAACAGTTGGACAGACAGGGATTGTTTTCACTAGAGTGTAGAAGAATGAGGAATGACCATTTTGCAGTATATAAGATCCTGACTAGCTTTGACAAAGTGAATGTGGAAATAAGATTTCTTCTTGTGGGTGAGACCAGACCTACAGGGAATAAATACAGAAAGAGCTGGATATTGACCTGAGGCTGCAGCATAAGGTGAGGAAACCAACAAGAGGGGAAAAACTACTTGACCTTATCCTCACCAATCTGCCTGCAGCAGATACATCTGTCCATGATATTAGCGTAAGAGTGACCATCGCATAGTCCTTGCGAGGACAAAGTCATGCCTTAACATTAAGAATAACTTCTATTGTATTTTATGGCACTATCACCATACTAAATAGGATAGACTTCGAACAGATCTAGTGACTGAAGATTGGACATCTAGCTAGGGGCCATCAGCAGCAGCAACCTCATGGCCAAGCATATCCGCACTTAACCATTATCATCAACCCTAGTTCAATCTGCGTTTGGCAAAGGAACCGTAGATGAGAATGTGTTATTTGAAACACCAATAGATCAGACATGATCTTATTGAATGGCTTGAGGCAAAAGGCATGCTTCTGTTGCAAACTTGTATGTTTTTATAACATGTGATCGTGTGGAAGGCAGCAAGTGCTATTGCTGATATTGCTCCTTTTGTTACCGGGACAGTTGGCATGGCTCTCAGCAGAGATGAAAAGTGGAGTTGCATAAGCTGCTCCTATGCTATGTTGAAGTCTGCCAGCTGCTGCAATTACTGCAGGCCAGTGAAGTGTTATACTGGAGCAATACCTACCAACAAGTTGGCAATAGCCTATACAGCAGTGAAGACATTCTGAGAGAACAAATATTTCGACAAGCAGGCCATTGTTAGAACTTGGCTTGACCAAAGCCATCACAGCTTGTCGGTTTCACTGAAAAACCTTTGCCTGATGTGCACTTGCCTCCCTGATGAGTCATTGACATATTAATGATTCAGCGTTAATTTTTTTTATTGTTTTAAGTACCTCAACAAATTCTTAACTGTTCACTAAACAGGTCTCACTGGGTCCATCCCTTGCAAACATCCCATGGAAACTGGAAGAGGGTTAAGGAGAGTTTGGGATTGTGTTCCATGCTAATTTGTAAGATTTTCCCCCAACTCACCTCCACTGAGCTGAGTGAATTCTGACCAATGTGTTTTTTTTTTATTTGTCCAATCAAAATGTATCTTTAAAGCAGAATTTTGTGCAGTAATCAACACAACTTTTATCATTCACAAAATATGCTATATTCTTGTAATCTTCTGAATTTGAACAAAACATGTCAACCTTAACCTAAATTAATGCAGTTTTCATCTATCAGAGTACTTCTATTGCAATATGTGTTCTATTGAACTACTAGTTTCAATGTCCATAACAACAAGTTCTAGAACCAAGTAAGCATTCAACATGCCATGATGAGCTCCCAGCAACATTCAAGAAGCCCAATGTATTCCAGGACCAAGCAGCCTATTTAATTGACACCTTATCTAACATTGTAGATGTATACTTCCCCCACCACCAACCTTGAGGAGATTACAGAGATAAAGGGTCAACTTCATTTGAAAATAAGGAGGTGTAAATGGCAAATGGCAGGTAGAATAAGGGATGGATTTGCTAACTATGGAATAAAGCATCGAGCAGGGGTCAACGACAATAACTTCACTGTTCCCAGTATTTAATTTCTCTCACAGCATTCATCACCTTGCTGAATAAAGTATAGGGAGGACAATGGCAATGGGATCAGAAAGCCCTGATGCTCATTATCAGTCCAAGTAACTGATGTTTCATTGCGTCACACAATAACCCTCAATATCACATTTTGTTTACAGTATTCCATTGCACACATGCTGCTTACATGTCCAAACTTTGTAGACTAGAGTCATCAGCCATTTCATCAAAGTAGAGCCCTCATCACCCAAACATCACCTTCTGTTTTCACATGAGAGCTCAAATGCAGGAGAAATAGTGGACTGTCAGTAATTTAAGGCATTATGGTTGTTACTAGGGCACCTGACATTCACCCCCATTGTACATGGCATGTGGTCATATATCAAATCGACACTGAGAAACTGGAATCCCTTTCAGTTATGGTACATCTCAGGATTAACATGCGCTGCCTTCAAAGTGACATGGGTGCAACCAAAGGTATCCGATACACTGTGGGGGAAGCCTGACATCCTCACAAAGCCATATGATTGATCTGCTGCAACTGAAATGCATTCAGCTCTCTTGGAATACACTCTGTTATTTTCAGAAAGAATTATAAATTCTGTGGTCATCATTAATATCAGAAGTTGTCCGTGGAAACATGTCATGTAATTACACCCTCCTGTCAGTGATGGCATTGCAGAATGATGAGTTTGCAAGAGATATTTCTATTATAAGAATGGACATAACAATTTACAATGAAAAAGCTGATACGGAGTTTGCACTGATGCAAAATTTTTTATTGCATTATAGATAAATGCAATCATTACGTTAGACACATATGTTATATTTGGCCTGTATTCTCCAATTAGCACTAGCATAATGTGTGCAAGTTGCAAGTAGCAGTGACATTTTTAACTATTCAAAAGCACACTTGAAAATGCACATACTATAAAGTCAACTAAAACAAACAGAAAGCAGTAATACACGTATAGCCAATAAAGACTGACACTGTGACAAGATCAGCAGAGAGATAATGTAAATATTGTACTATGGACATTTCTAAATAGGAACTGGACAATATGGAAAACTGCCATTCCAAAAAACCAAGTGCCTGGATTTTGGAGCATTAATTCCATTAGTAGTTAACAAAGAATATCCAGAATATTATTAATACCATTAAATATAAAAAAGAGTGATTATTCTAAAAATAATTTTAAACATAAACAAAGTTGCCAACATTTTACTTGTATAAAACTGGAAGTGATCTGCACACACATTTTGCATTATTTGGCTAACAGCATTTTCATTATTCAAACATTGCATGCTGAAATAATTGCACTCTGTGCCATATATTGTGCTGAATCCTCCACCAAAATTGATTCTGAATATTTATTAGTTGGTTTTCTTAAATAAGTTGTATGTTCAAATGGATTAAGTGTCTAAACTACAAGTTCATTGCATGAATATCAAGCACTTTGATTTTATTTTATGATTCCAGGCACTAAAATAACATTAAAAGCTTCCAAATAATTATTTATAAACATTTTATTTTTTTTTTAACTGAAGTGAACTTTTGGCTCAGCATTGACACAATGTCAATAACTTGCCTTTTCCCTTTACAGATGTTGAGTTTCCTGTATTTCTACACCATTTTCCAACTATATTTTAGTTTCAAAATTTGGAGTTTTTTATAGTTTGAAACATGCTCATTTCTTTGTTAATGATATACAGGCATCAATTGGCAACTATTCCTTACAATTATCACTTGACAATGATCAACATTTATCACAAATCTCTTATGTTGGGTCCCACAAAGTTCATGATACATTTGGAATTTATACTTTATTGCAATACCAAATATGTAATATAATTTGACAGTCTGTAAATATGAGCAATGACGTTAAAATGTGCTAACCACTCCCAACATTCATCATGGAGTTATTTTTTGTCTGGAGAATATCATCCTGTGTAACTTTATGCAACAATTCAAGTTTATAGGTCTCTATCCACTTAATTATAATTAAAAGCTAACTTAAAATGTCCAATGGAAAATTTCCAACTGTATTTGGTGCTGATGATCTTTCCTTTGTAAAAAGCTAAGAATTGAATTATAATCCTCAGTGCCAAATGATTACATAAGTACAGTTTATTATGACTATTTATAATATTGACGGTATCTGATGTTTATTCATAGTGATCCTTGTATCAGCATGCATAGTTATAAATGTCTGATGGGTCGATACTTGACAAGGCCTAAGACGATCGAAATTCTGCATTCTGATACATATAATAGACCGCACGTGTCCAAATTTACTATATTAGCACACTGTTATTTTACTTGCAGCTTTGAAGCCTATTTCGATGCATTTTTTCCTCTGATAAAAGTGGAATGAAAGTGTCATTGTAAGAATTTAGCAGACTGTTACTCAGAGAGAGGTTGCTACTGCTATTGGTTTTAGTGACCACAATGTCTACATGTTCCTTTCCAGCAAATCCACTCTCTTCATTCTTAGCATTCAACTCCATTAGTTCAAGTTCGTGTTTTGCAGCCGTTTCCAAGACCTTTTGTTTATTGTAGTAGCGTACGAAATTGTTTATAATAGGATGGATTGGCAATGCGATGGCTATTATACCGCAAAGAAAGCTAATTGCCGCATTGAGTTTCCCCAATGTTGTCTTTGGGTAAATATCCCCGTATCCAACAGTGGTCATGGTGATTATTGCCCACCAAAAGGACTGGGGAATACTTTTGAAGAGGGTTTCGGGGTGGCTCTGTTCCATGGTGAAGCCCAAAGCGGAAAAAACGAAAATACCAACGGCCAAGTACATGAGCAATAAACCCAGTTCTTTGAAGCTTCTCTTCAGTGCGTACGTGAGTGTTTGGAGACCGCTGGAGTGGCGCGCAAGTTTAAAAATCCGCACTATCCGCATGATCCGAAGGGCCTGGATCGCCTGCTGTACATTAGTCAGCTCCATGAGAGATGCCCCTACTGTGGTCAAGATCAGGCTCACATAGAAAGGCAGAATCGTCAGCACGTCGATAATGTTCATGAAAGACAGGACAAATTTGAGTTTGTTGGGGGCTGCCATCAGCCTCATTATATACTCGGCTGTAAACCAACCGATACAAGCCGTCTCAATGCAGTCGAGAATTGGATGCTCCACCGGACTCCCTTCCTCATCAGTTACTTGTAGATCAGGGATAGTGCTAATACACATCACCACGGATGAAATTAAGATGAACAGAAAAGATAAAACTGCAATAACTCTGGCCAGACAGGACGAGTCAGGTTTTTCCATCAGTTTCCAGAGGAATTTCTGAGATTTCCCCCAGCAGCTATCAGCCGATTTGCCCCGGTCGGCCAAAATAAGCTGCACTTGTTTCGCGATTTCTTCCAGCTCTTCGTTTTTCTCGCCTAAGAGGCATTTGCAACATTCGTCCAAAAAGTCCACTTCGATCTTCCAGAAGTCCAGCTCATTTTTGAAACAAATGGGGCAAACTCCCTTTTTCATGTGGATTTCCCCGAAATAGTAAGCGTCCATGACACATTTGAAAGAGTCCGGGTCTCGGTCGAAGTAAAACTCTCCTTTGCTCGGATCGTAGTCATCGCAAAGGGCGAAGATCGCTTCGTAGCCGCTGCAATTGAGCAGTTTCGCCAGCCTGCTCTCTGGGTATCGGTTCAAAACAGCCCCGTACAGAACGTGCCGCACGCCGCCAATGTTCACCACCATCTCCTGATCTTCCGAAGCGCCTGACTGAGCAGAACACAGGCTTCTCGATTCCGTCCCCATGCTTTTGAGTATTTCACACTAAATCGAGTTTAACCAACACACTTCTCGCTCCTTTGAGAAATGTCTAAACGCGACCCCAACTTGCATCGATGTTCTCGGTATTTCCTGAAATGTATACATGTACACACACACACCAAACCACCGGAATACAATCGGGAGAATTGGTTTCACAATGGGGGAAATATGGTGAAGAAAGCGTTTTAGATCAAAAACTCACCGTTGGAAGTTGGAATCGCCTACTTATAAACCTCAAAGGAGAGCCATCCAAGTACGTCATCCTCTCTAGTATTTGATTAATGAGATATATTCAATTAACGGGACACCAGGCAATCTGTCATGTTGCTAATCTCGTCAAACCAGAACAAAACCTCGGAAACGTGGGTTTGAAGAAAGCTATCTTTCTTGCAGCCAGTCTGATTTTTTTTTTAAAAAAGGGCTGCAAGACGATTATTTGACGACAGTGCATCTGTAGCGTTGCACAAAGTGAAGCGAATTTTGTCACTGCATCCACAGCGCTGGAGAATGTCAACAGTTCGGATCAGAAAGGTAACATAATCTGTCTCTTGGACGCGGATTGAAATTCTTCCCTTCCACATGAGATAATATGAACAAACTGTAGCAGCAAGCCACACTCCCTGCTGGTGAAAAAACTGCACAGCTATTGAAAACTGTTAACGATACAGTAAAATCGATTACACTCCTCATATTTTATAATTCAAAACGCAAAATCATTAAGCCCATTTACAAAACTACAGCTAAATGGTTGGTGAGTCATACGCAAAGCGTAATTTTATATTCCGCTGAACTAATTCAATACAGGTTTTTCTTCTTTTAAGAACAAATTAGCTACCTTTCATAGCACTTGTTTACTACTGTCATGTTCAACACCAAAGTCAGCTTCCCTACAGTGTCCAATTACATCAATTGACCAATTATATCAAGTGCCTACACATTATCGGGGCAAAATATTTAGTTCACGAAGCGAACATGCAATTTTACACGTTTCCTTAAATATAATGAAAAAAGTTGAAAAAAACGACCCAATATATTATTACAAAAACGGAAGTTGCTGGAAAAGCTCAGCAGGTCTGGCAGCATTTGTGAAATCAGAGTTAACGTTTCAGGTCCAGTGACCCTTCCTCAGAAAAACATTATTTGACTATAGTGTCAAGATTGCCGCAGTCGCCTAATTTGAACTGAATACACCTTTCACGTCTTTTAGCAGCAGCCACAGAAGATCATTCTAACGTTACAAAATTGGGAAGAATGAAACCCTAACTTAAAATAATGAAAATGAAGTTCTTTAGCATCTTCAGCAGGATAAATCTCCACTGTTCATTGCAAGAAGGTCTAATAAAAGTGTTAATTCATCCTGTAACAATTTTTTTTTCTAATGGGATTCTTTTTAGCTTCCTGTCTATATTTTACTGTACCTCCAGTATTTTCTATGCATCTTGCATTCACTTTCTTCCTCATCTTATGCATTCAAATTTCTTCATAATTTCCCTTTTTGTAAGTCTATTCTTCCAACTGTCTCACCTCTTCTGCTTGTCTCCTTTCTGCCTTTTACCCACAGGTCCTTGTGATACCGTTTCCCTTATTGTTGGAGAATAATCATGGCAGTTTTAGGAAAATACTGTAAGTCTCACAGCAGTTTTCAGATGACCCATATTCAACAGTTTAATCAATGACTTCCTCCATGATAGCATCAGCTGCTTGGTGGTGATTTCACAATGTTCCACCTCTGATAATGAAGCATTCAGGTTTGGGCTGTTAAATGACAGGTAACATTTTTATTGCCTTACAGCCAGTTCTGACTAACTCAAAAACAAAGATATACCAATTTTCCTTAACTTCAATGGCAGTGCCGTTTCTGAATTCTTATTGTGCTTCAGATTTCCAAAGCCTTTCCTCATTTAGAAAATAGTTTATGCCTCTGTTCTTCCTATCGAAGTGCATAAAGTACACTTTGGCGTTGCATTTCATTGTATCACATTTCTTTGCCCATTCTACTAGCCTGTCCTTCTGCAGTCTCTTTGCCTCCTCAAAACTATCTGTCCCTCCGACTATATTTGTGTCATCTGCAAACTTAGCAACAGTGCCCTCAGTTCCTCTGACTAGATCATTAATGTATAACATGAATACTTGTGGTCCCAACATTGACTTCTGTGGAACTCCACTAGTCACCGGCTGCCTTCCTGAAAAGGACCCCTTTATCCCCAATGCATTCTGCATTCTGTCATTCAACAAATCATCTAACCATGCCAGTACCTTACTCCACAACAGCATGTGCTCTTATGGTATTTAGCAGCCTCCTGTGTGGCACTTTGTTTCTGGAAATCCAAATAGATCAAATCTACTGGCTCTCCTTTGTCTAACTTGCTGATTACTTCTCAAAGAATTCCAACAGATTTGTCAGGCATGAACTCCCCTTGACGAAGCTGCGCTGACTCAGCCCTATTTTACCATGCACTTTCAAATATTTCCAATCATATCCTTGAAAAAAAAGGGCCTTAAGGGGCAACTTTTCATGCAAAGAGTGATGCGTGTAAAGAACGAGCTGCCATAGAAAGTGGTGGAGGTGGGTACAATTACAACACTTAAAAGGCATGTGGATGGGCACATGAACAGACAGGTTTAGAGGGAAATGGGCCAAATGTTGGCAAATGGGACTAGATCAGTTTAGGATATCTGGTCAGAATGGATGAGTTGGACTGAAGGGTCTGTTTCTGTGCTGTACAATTCTCTGACTCTATAATAATGGATTCTAAAATCTTACCAATGACCAAAGTCACGTTAACTGGCCTATAATTTCCAGTCTCCTGCTCTCTTCCTTTCTTGAAAAGGGGTTTTATATTGGCTATTTTCCAATCCTTGGGAGCCTCCCTGACTTCAGTGATTCCTGAAAGATTATCACCAATGCCTCCACAATCTCCCTAGCTATCTCCTTCAGAACCCATCTGGTCCAGGTAATTTATTCACTTCAGATCTTATAGCTTCCCCAGCCGTTTCTCCTTAGTGATGGCCAATACACTGACTTCTGCCCCCAAACTCTCTAAGTTGATGAGCTGGAATCCAAGCTTCAGACACTGCGGCACATTTGGGAGGGGAAGAGTCATCTTGAGACTATGTTTGAGGCAGCAACACCCTGTAGCTTAAATATTTCAAATTTGGCCACTGGTAGGGGACAGGAAGTTCCTTGAGATGTAGACACTTACTGCAGATGTGGATCAAAATGGACCAACTCCACATAATGCAAGAATAACATATTGCCTATTCTGCCATTTGTAGTATAGTTAATTAGCTTTTATTTATTGTTAAAATACATTACTCTTGGATTGTCTTGAAATTATTTATACTGTTTTCTGAATCTACCACTGTTTAAGACCAGTCTCTAGCGTAGATCCCATACCAGCCAATCAGACCACAGATTCTCAGTGATGTCACTTTCACACCTGCCCTTCCCCCACTTAGGCAAGTTTGGACATGTTCTCTGCTCCTTTTCAGACTGCATTTCTCTGACACCAACTGCCAGGACACCCTTCCCAAACTGCTTCACTGTGAAGCCAACTGCCAGGGCACCCTTCCCAAACTGCTTCACTGTGAAGCCAACTGCCAGGACACCCTTCCCAAACTGCTTCACTGTGAAGCCAACTGCCAGGACATCCTTCTCAGACTACTTCACTGTGACATCAACTATCAATATCTTGGAATTCTTATGGAATCTCCATCAGCAAAACTATTGCAGCAGTTTAAGAAAAAATGAGGTTCTAACTACCAACAGGTGAGATCTCCAAGGTCCATTCACTCAAAATTACAATGGTTTAAACAATTCAATTGCTGGGATTATTGTTTGGAAAATCACCAATTCCAGCAGTCCAATTCCATCAAGGATTCCCCTCCACCACACCTGAAACAAAGGGCCACCATTAGAGGAATTACATCTGAGGTGGGTGATTTAGTAATTTCCTTATTCCTGTTACCTGGAATGTTGACCAGAAATTACCAAATTGCTGTTAAAATCCCACCCAGTTCACTAATATACACTCATCTGTGCCCAGGACTGGTAGGGAAGCAGCATCAAGTGACACTGAATCACACCTTTCAGTTAGTGATCAAAATGGCTTCATGATCAATGACTGGGTAAATTGACCACATGAGACAACATAATAAATTGAAAGTAATATAGACAGTGAGTGACCCTGGGAGTTGTCAACACTAACTACAGATCCCATGGTATCTCTTGGTATCAAATCAAACACAGGAAAGGAAACTTGGTGATTAACTCACTGACTGATGAATAAGTGTTCCACCATGTTGAAAAGCAATTGGAAGAAGCACTGCAAGCAAAATATTCTGGGTGGGAGAGTTCACCAATTTCATCACAATGAGTGGTTTAGTAGTACTTATCTGAAAGAAAAAGCTGCCAGACAAGGCCTGCAGCAGATGGCTCTATCCTCATCAAGCTAGCTATCACAGATACATCTTTCAATGACAATATTGGTAGGAGTCACCACTATGCAAATCTTGTGGAGACTTCAACATTGGGTTGAGTCTGGTGTAGACAGTGGCGAGGTGGTTGGGGAGGGATAGTGGCGAACGAGTCATTGTTGACGAGCTGACTCAGGACTGGTGGACTCTCTTTAAGCTATATCCTTCTATCTTTTATCTTATTCTGAAAGTATTCAAAATGGCACTGGATCATGACAACAATGGAAAAGCTTTTTACTGTATTTCACTGTTTTTCTCACTGTAAACTACATTATCATTCATTCATAAAAGGATCACTAGCCACCATAGGACTCTAGGCCAGTGCCTTGACTCTCCTAAGCCAGACAAACAAGCCAGTGAATACAATTTCATCTATTGCTGGGACGTGGTTGATGGATACCAGAATCTTGGAGGAAACAATGTGAAATCTCATGGAATAGTATATCCATCACTATCATTACTATTAAGCCAAATGACAAAACCTGAATCAATGAGAAATGCAGAAGTGTGTGCTAGGAATAGCTTTGGCGGAACTAAATAAATGAT